TGGAGGGGGAAGTGAGGAGTGCCCTGTGTGGGGCCAAAAAGGACTGTCGTGGTTTAACCAGCAACTAGGACCACACAGGCGTTCACCCACTCCACAGCCCCAGTAGGGTAGAGAGAAGAGAGAGAAAAAGGAAAAAAAAACCCTCATGGGTTGATATAAAGGCGGTTTAATAGAACAGTAACAAAAGAAGTAATAGTAGTAGTAGTAATAATAATAATAATTAATATACAAAATTGTGATGCGATACAGTTGCTCACCACCCCATGATCGATTGCCCAGCCTGTCCTGAGCAGCGATCACAGATTCCTGCCCTCCCCCGGCCAACCCCCTTTTATGTACTGAGCATGACACCTGTGGTATGGAATATTCCTTTGGCCAGCTTGTTCTGTTTATGCTCCTTCTCAGCTTCTATGGGAAGCTGAAAAAGTCCTTGACTTAATATAAGCATTACCTAGCAACAACTAAAACAATATGTATTATCAACATTATTCTCATATTAAATCCAAACCACAGCAGCCACTAGGAAGAAACTTAACTATCCCAGCTGAAAACAGGACAGATGCTTTCATCTTCCTGACTGCTTCAAACAGAAACAGGAGCAGACCTGCTTTCGCACCCATTCTTCCAAGAATTGGCTAAACCCCCAGGGCACTGTTACACTTCCTGCTCAATGGATTCAGTCCTTTCAACAGCAATCAGGGCCGTGCATAGAGCGCCAAATCCAGGCAAAGGAGGGGGGTGTCACACATGGGCTAACAGAGCGGGGAGATCAACAGGTGTGTAACATACTTCATTTGCAGGAGAAAGCTGATATCCATCTCTTTGTTCCACCAGAACAGCTTCTGCCTTGTCCCAGTCATCTAACACAGCCCCCTCCACCCCATCACCTGCCTCTCACAACTCCCAATATTTTCTCTCTCCCAATATTCCCTTTCGTCTCCCCCAAGAGTCCCCTGGGGGATGACACAGACTCAGATCCCTGCCTTCTGCGTGCCTCATTTTCACGCAAACTATTTGTTCCCCTTAGTAGCACATGCAATTTAATAACTGCATATAGTATTAAAAGCAGTTTATAATTATAGGCAAGAACTAAATGTACTTCGTTCTCCACACAGAATTTGTATCAACACACAGTTTGCGTTTTATCCTGCGTTTCCGCAATGCCCAGGCAATGCATTAAGAGCAAATAATTTCCGAAATCAGAGAGGTTTGGGACAGGATCATATTTGTGAGGGTGCACTTCTCCCCTCAGGGCAGTCCCCACCGAAGAGCTGGGACGGCCTCAGGTCCCACCAGCGCAGCCCTGAGGCTTGGCAGGGCTGAGAGGCTCAGAGCTGCTCCTGGCCCAACACTTTCGTTTGCCCTGTGACTTCCAATGGCAAAACTACATCAGTGCAGAACAACTCTGGGCTTGGAAGAGTGAATAACCACGTGGAAAATGCAAACGGCAGCTGTGTGCCCAGCGCTACTGACAATAGCTTCCTTCCCACTTGCAAGAAAAGTCTTTCCCCTGGCAAAGCTCTCCAGAGCAATTAGCAAATACAAATATTGCAGTTTGCGTTTGAAAAAAAAAAACACAACCTAAAGCTTGTTGTCCAAAGCTGCTCAAAACCTGCAAACAGACTAAATTAGATGTCATGGTTGGAAAAAATCCTTTCTTATAGCAGCTGGGTTTGGTTGGGTAGCGGATCCTGTGTGTTAACCTATAGAAGCCCTCACCCTTTTCACCACACTGACCTTTTCACTGGTAATTCCCTAAGCAACTTTGGTATAGGAAGATGATTCTCACTAAGTCTAGATCAAGAAGTATTTGTACTTAATTCTAGCAGAGAAGAAACCTTTTTCTTG